TGTATATAACATGTCCATGCACACACAGACCTTGTTAATCTTCCTTTGGCAGATTCCTGACAAGAGGTAGAAAACTCTTTTATCTTGCGGATTCATCATGTTCCCATCTGGAAATGAAAACTAAAATAAACTTTTCACTTTGTCTTCCAACTCAACTCAAAATCATTCTAGGTCCAGTGAAAATCACCCAGTTGATAGTTTACTTCTGTTTTTGCACTGTCTAAGGAATGCTTTGGAGACTGAGTACAAAAGAAGGAAGTTTCGAGATGTTTCGCAAACTGGATTTAAAGTTTTAAAATCCCTACTTATCTCCTAGCAATCTTCATGCCTCTTGTAGCAAATCATTTAGCTTTTCTTTCTCTGTAAGTGGGGGGAAGGCGTTGATCCATGTCAGAGTTTCTTGACCCTGCCTACACATTAGAATTAGTTGAAAAAAACATTTTTTAAAAAACATTTAAATTTTTTTTCTTTAAAAATTTTTAAAGATGACACTGTAGACCAGTTAAATCAGATTGCAGTGTGTTTTTTTTTTTTTTAAATGCCTCAGCTGGTTTTCATGTGCAGCCAAGAATGGGCGTCACTGAACATGATGATCTCTGATATTCTCTCTAAAGAACATCTCTAAGATTCTAAAGTATGTTAAGTTCGGACAATTTATCATACTCTTCAGTAATTTTTAACCTGTTAAAACAGAGATTCTGTTTTCCCACACAGTGCAATGGAGTTTAGAACTGGCCTAAAAGGTTGACCAAGAAAATGCTTGCTAATAGTCCAAGTCATTCAAGAATTTTCCTTCTTCTCCTCTGATATTCATATCTCTAAATGAAACATTATAATGGGCTTTTTTGTTGTTGTTGTTGTTTAAGCTGAAAAGTAGATGAGCAGAGAAAGGTAAGTGAATGGACAATAAAACATGTAAATGCTAATCCAGAGGATAGCCAGCAACCATTCTGAGGTTAAAAATAAAAAACATTGTGTGTAGAGATATCAAGTGAGCTTTGTAGACATTGCCAATAAAGATGAAAGAACAATGGAATTACAGGAAAACCCACTTCAGTGGACAATTTTTTACTCAGTAGCTATGCAGTCAACTAGTTATGAACTGTAAACATATTTCACCCAGGAAGTATTTGATGGCAGTTTGTGGTTGACAAGAACAACAGGTCCAGCATAGGACCTGGCTCAAGTTTAACAGAGTATAATATTTCTGCTTAACATAGGATTTCTATTGTTGAAGAGTCAAAAACCCACAAAGATACTGAATGTTATTGTACTTAAATACATGATAAAGACCTCATGTGCAAGAGAAGCAGCCTTACCTTGAACTTCAAATGATAAATGTCTGTCACCCTTCAGCAACATCATCACTGAAAGGGTCTGAGGCTCCCTAAAAATCTGCTTTGATCATGAAAACATGAGTTTCATTTTTGGATCAAACTGGCATTTTCCTTTAGGTGGTTATTGATCAGTCTCTTCTCTGCTGAGTCAATAACAGACACATACAGAGGTTGGTCCAACGTGAAGTTTGATTTCTCAGGCCACAAATGCAGAGAGCCACGAGGTCACAGCACCAAACGTTTGAGCTTTTCGGTTCAAAAACCATAGGTGGCATTAAAGAAGGTACTGGTGTTCTTTGAAGTTTGATTTATGTAACTTCAGATTTCAAAAAGAAATACGTTTCCCCTCCCACAGAATTCAACTGCTTTAGAAGTGTGGTTTTTAAA